AAGAAAAGGATTAGGGTTCACTGCATTTGGGTTTACTATTTATGATAAAAATAATTATTCCAAATCAAAATTGGTGTGGCCATGACAAGGACACTCGTGGCATGCCACATACGCCTCCGTTAGAGAAAACTAATGGGAGGGACCATATTTGGGGAAGGAAAACTTTGTGAGGACCATTGTTTGAAGAAATTTTTTGGAAGGACTAAACTTTAAAGTTGACATATTTTAAATCCACGCCATAAACAAAATTTATAGGGACCTTTTATCTCAAATCCACGCCATAAACAAAATTTTTAAAATTCTCCTTTTATCCCAAATCTACGCCATAAACAAATTTTTTAAAATTCTCCTTTTATCCCAAATCCACAAAACAACCTACACTTTGTAAATTACCCATATCATACATCACCTTATCCATATGAATAAAAATAATTTACATCTCAACCAACTAACTCCACTATGCCTCATAAGGCTCAAATAGGTAGTATAGGTGTACAATCAAATGGTCAAGAACACGAGACACCATAATTTTGCACTTAAAGTATATTAGAAACTATTAACCTTGTTGATGAAGTTACATTTGCACCAGTTGTGAATACTCCTAAACAAATATTCCAACAAAAAGAGGATGAAGTTCTCATTCAATCATGTATCAATATTTCAAAGGATTCAATTATTAGGGTTGAACAAAAAAGAGATATTTTTTGGAAGAGAATTGACAAAGCTTACAACAAACATTGTGACATCAATTACAAAGAGTTAAAATCGATGGTACAAAATTAATCCATTTGCTTAAAAGTTGGTTGGATGCTACAAACAAGTTGTGTCTACACAACAAAGCGGGAGCTCCGTGAGCAATATCATGCAAACTATATATAAAATCTATTTCCAACATGAAGGTTAAAATTTTATATTTGAGCCTGCATGGAGACTATTGAAAGATGAACCTAAATGACTCACAAGTTCATCGAAAGCTTCTACAAAAATAAAAAAGAATTCAACTCCAGGAACATATTCTTCATCTTCTAGTTCGTTGACACCAATAAGCTGTTCAACCATTCAAAAGGATGCCAAAAGGAAGGAGAAAGAAAAGCTTATGGAAATGTCTACTACTCCCAGTACCAAACATGATTATTTGAAAGATTACTTTAAAAAAAATTAATTTGATGTTAGTGTTTACACTGGGCTCTATAGAAAATCGTGTGGAAATGTCTGCTACTCCCAATATCAAATATGATTATTTGAAAGATTACTTTAAAAAAAATTGATTTGATGTTAGTGTTTGCACGAGGCTATGCAGAAAATCTTGTGGAAATGTCTAATACTCCCAATATCAAATATGATTATTTAAAATATTACTTTAAAAAATTAATTTGATGTTAGTGTTTACGCAGGGCTATGCACATATTAAGGATGCAAAAGTCGAGATAGAGAAAAAAGGTCGATGCAAAGATTAAGAAGGCGGAGAGTACTAAGGGAAAATTGAAGATCAATTATCTGTAGATACTCAGAAAAGATGCATCAAATATGAATAGAAGACAACTACAAGCTCATGAATTCTTGTGCGACATGATTAGAGAAAAATATCGACTTAAATGATATGCTTATGTATTTTGTATTTTTTTTAGTATGATTATGTATTCATAAAATTTAATTATGTATTCTTATAACTAATTGTTGTTCAAATTAGTCGTTATTCAAAGTCAAATTAGTCGTTATTCAAAATCAAATTAGCAATTATTCAAACTTGTTGTTACAAACTAGTCCTATAAATAGTATTAACATGCACAATAAGTTACATAGTTCTTTCCAACCACTTTCATTCTCTACAGTTTGTTATCATCTTTTACTCGATATCAAACTTCTTTTCACATGGATCCTTCTAATCCTTACCACATTATAAAAATGTTCATGGATTATATGAATCATTATATGGATTAAGAACTTGTGAGGTTATTTATGGAAGAAGAAACTTATAGCTTCAAAATTACAAGACATAAAAGAAGGAAATAGAGAGAAATTACGAATAGATATGTGATCGATTATTTAATGATTATTATTTAAAAACTCTAATATAGATGAATGAGCAGTTTCATCGAAGGTATCAAATGCATAAACATATGTTCCTTCATATTGTTGAAACTTCAGGTCAACATGATGAGTATTTTTAATGAAGGTTGATGCAACTAGTAGATCAAGTATTTCACCGCAGCAAAAATGCATTGTTGTTATATGTATGTTGGCATATGGAACATATGCTATCAGTATAGATGACTATTTGAGAATTTGTGAAACCACGACACTAAAATATGTTGATAAGTTTACTAGGGGTGTGATCGGCATCTTTAGGGCACAATATTTGCGAAAGCCAAAAAACGAAGACATTGAATGCCTAATGCTAATGGAGGAGACACGAGGATTTTCAAGTATGTTAGAAAGCATGATTATATGCATTTGAAATGGAAAAATTGTCTAGTTGCATTGAAAGGAAAATACATTTGAGGTGATAATGGAAAACCAATGGTTATGCTTGAAGTAGTGGTTTCACACTACTTATAGATTTAACATGTATTATTTGGAGTAGCAGGTTTAAACAACAATATTAATGTGTTGAACAAATCCAACAAATTCAACGATGTTCTGCAAGGACGAACTCTTGAGGTTCATTTTACAATCAATCATACTCAATACAATAAGAGCTATTGTCTATCAAATGAAGTTTATCTTAAATGAGTCACGTTTGTGAAAAGTATCCTGATGCCACAAAGGAATAAGAGAAAATTGTTTGCCCAACATCAAGAGAGGAAAATAAAAGATATTGAACGAACATTTGAAGTTCTCCAATCCCAATTTACGATCAAATGTAACCGAACACAATCTTATCACTTAGACGCACTTCAGCACATGATAAATTTGTGATAAATAAATTTATCGACACCTTCAACAACGCTTGATAGAACATATGTGACAACATTATGGGTAAGAGAATTGTATTTCATGCTAGTAATTTATTTTAACATTTAAGTTTTTTAATTTATTTTTAATAAATTATTTGTGTCATTTATTATGATTTTTTAATATACATGTATTGAAAAATTGGTGGGATAAATTTTTGTTTTTTTTCCGGACAAAACGGTGTCATTTTGATAATTTAAAAATAAAACAAAATATAAATATAAATAGACTTTGTTTAAACTTATTTAAAACAATTTTTCTTTATTGAAATTAATCACGGTCAATTATTTTGTTATTTCGTTTATGTTACAATTAAATTTTATTCAAAATTTATTTAAATTTGTATTACTTTGTTGTGTGTGATGATTATGTTTAAAATTTAAATTTAAAAATTCAACTTCTGAAATTATAATATTTTAAAATTTTATAAATGTCACAATTTTTTTAAAAGTTGACTCATTCGGTTCAACTAATTTAATAACTAAATAGTTTTATTATAATAACCCGTTTATTTAAGCGGTTTATCTGATATAATTGAATTTAGTCATGTGGTTTGATTATTGATCCCAAATGATTCTATCAATGAACCAATATTCAATACACTCTTCGATTTGATGACCCTCCAATTATAAAACATTATTTATATGAATATTTAAAAACAAATATAATTAAATTATTAATTTTTTGAAAGTGTAATATAATACAAAAATTGAGTGAGACTTAAAAAAACTCAAATAAATATGATGGAATGGTGCTAATATCAAAACCCTAAAATCAACTATCCAACAAATATTATTTTATGCCATTTCAACTAATATAAATATTTTAAATTTAACGCATTATCTTATTTCTAAATATATATATATATATATATATATATATATATATATATATATATATATATATATATATATATATATATATATATATATATATATATATATATATTACGTTACTTTTATTAAAAATTGACAATTATTTTTTTTTCAATACAAATTATTTATTTTTAAAATTCCTAAATTGTGTTAAGAACACCAGTTAAAGTTACCGTATTAATTTTAAAAAATGTATTCCTAAATTATTTATTTTCAATACAAATTAATTTTAAAAATTCCTAAATAAGTGGTATAGGCAACACTTATGGGACCATATAATGTTAAAAAAGATTTGATCTTAAATAGATCTTTTTTATTAAAAAACGTTCAAGTCACTATCGATCATAAATGCAAAGCTAAAATAATGTATATTTTAGATTGATCTCTTCTTGTTCTTCTTTATTTCCTAATTTAGAGTTTCTGTTTCTTCACTATATTATTGTGTGCTGATTTTGTTCTTTTACTTTTTCTGTCATTTTTATATTACAAATCCATTTATCAAAAAGTTCAAAGTTGGACACTATTTTTGTTGCACACAATATTGCATTTTACTTTTTACATTGCAAATCACAACTTTCATACATGCATCAATATAAAATAGAAGCATTTATGTCATTGAATCAAAGGTGGTGCAGCTAGATTAGTCCATTCAATATCTTCTGAATCAAAACCACTCACAACTCAGTAGAGACCAAGAACAAAGTTTAACCAAAATAAATGGAAGATAATTGTTAGGGTAATGTTCTTGGAACATAAGTTAAAATATCCGTAAATAGAAAATTCGTGTTGAGAAAAGCAATAAAATCATTAATTTTTATATTAATTTTAATACACAATTTGCAATAAATTTTTACTATATCTATGTTTTAACTTATGCCTTTTAGCATTACCCTAATTGTTATTCAAATTTAAAATGTTGAATAAACATTGCAGTTTGTATACAGTATAAACCAACGCTATTACGATCGAGAATCAATGGGGAAAAAACATATGAAATGCAACTATATAGATAGACAACTACAGAAAACACAATGTCTTTGCATTGTTTATCTCTCAAAAGAATATTATTAAACTATTTTCAAAGATCTAATGGTTATCATGTATTGTTTCCAAGAGAAAATTGTTTAACAAATAAATAAAACATTCGTAATTTTTTAACAGTTTCTGGTCTTACTGAAAGATAGGAAGATCGTGCAGTGGTGGTTGCTTAAAACTTGTACTGACTTGTGTGACTTGTTCTGGAACAATGCTACTTGAGGCTTCTTTTCCAACCAAACTTCCCATCTTTAAGAAATAACTATGCCTGCAAAAATAGAGCTTTTGATGTCAAGTTCATATATCATACAATACAACATTGTAAAATTCAAAACCCAAAAACAAATTATAGCTACCATCGAGTATCGGCTGTCAATTCAGGATGAAATGCAGTAGCCAGAATGTTCCCTTGTCTCACAGCAACTATAACTTTGCTGCCTTCTTCAGCATTCTCCTGTCATTTCATAAACAATAAGAAACATGTTAGGTGTTGGGAGAAATGGCATCTCCAAATATGTAGTCAAGTGAAATGAGTCGAACAAGTTCCCGGGTTTGATCCAGGCTGCTAACAAATTTCTCCTCTTCCTAACAAATTAACCACTGACATTTTCTTATATAAAAAATTAACGGCAATAGGAACCCATAGTTTTTACGGATTTGGATCATCTAGTACCCCCTACCTCTTGTAGAAAATGACAAGTGAGTGAATGGTCAGGGGATTGGTAGATGTCAATAGAGAGAGCTTTGCTCAGAGTATCCAAGTCCAAGCATCAATCACGTCAAGCTAAGAACTAAAATAGCATAAATGTTCAATCTCCCAAGCAAAGAAGTGAAAGTTCTAACCTCCAAGGGTTGGCTTAGTGGTGAAAACTTGGATCCTGAGAGAGTTCTCCTCTCAAGGTCTCAAGTTAGGTGCAAACAATTTATGTGTTGGGCCAAGTTCATATAGAGCTTTGCTTTGACTTTAACAGAGCCCCGCAAGTGGACAGTGGGCCCCCTTATCGCTAGGCCAGATACCAAAATTTCAAAAAAAGAAGGAAAATAAAAAGGTCTATCATTTATAACACTAATTTGTAAATCACCTAAACCAAACAAAAGTGCCCCTTAAGCAAATAAGTTTATAATAAACAGTACATGTGGTTGCTACTGAGTAATCACTCCTCTAGACTCCAGCAAATTCAGGTGTATGCTCAAATCCAATCTCGTAGGATGAAGAAATAATTATATATATACTACAACAGATGTACTACATTGGAAAACAGAGTTTGCCAATTCTTCATTAAGGGAACTTAATATCTTTCGACAGAAAAACATAGGAATTATTAGCAGAACAAACACTAGCAGCAAGCCATGCATGCCACAAGGCCTAAAGTGGGGGCACCATGACTAGCCTAGTCATCACTCTATCTAACATGTACCCGCAGTGTAACCCAGTGATATGGATTGATTGGGACGCGATAGGAGTATTAAGGAGGTGTAGAGCTTGACTCTTGCTACAAACAAATTTTATCTCCCCCTAACATAATCAATCACTAACAATTTCCTAAAAACTCACTCCATCTGATTTTCTTTACTAATATTCATTACTGCACTTCAACAACAAAATTCAAAATTATTGTCACTTTGTGCTCATCCTATAGCTACAAGTACATGATGACATTCATTTATTTTAACAGTCAAAACATGGATTAAACTTTACTTAGGATGCCAGAAGGCTATGGCCAACCACCTACGGATCCATGTTAGTATAAACAACTAAGCCTAATAATACAGTATATCAGTAGTTCATTATGTATATGATGATGAGACCAACATATAAGCTTGGAAAATACATCCAATAAGGTAATGGTAACATTATTATGGGCTTCGTCCTAAAAAAGTAGGGAACTTTTCCTAGGAGAATAAGCATGTTAAAAGAAAAACGGAAAGTGGTATATATTAGAAGAAATAAGTATGAGCTGAAAGAACCAAGTCAGCCCAGCCTCTGTTAGTTAAAGACTGAATGTTTGAGACGTAGTGTTATTAGTTAGTAAGCTCACTAATTGCAATAGCAGAGGTAGATATTATATAAAAGGAGACTATTCAGGTGAGTAAATTGATCAGTTACTTTTGGGTGAAAGAGATCGGGTTAAGTGTTAGAATAAAAGTCCCTTCCTTCCAAGGCGTAATATCAATCCTTGGTGATTTGTTTCATATTAACAAACAGAATATTTTACTTTATACATGATTCACAAAGTCTTGTATTCCTAGTTCATTCTTTAGACCTCACAAAGTCTCGTATTCCTATTATCGGACAAACCATTTAAATTCTAATAGCTCTGAAACAAATTACTATTCACAACCTAAAACTTGAATAAACAAACAATCCAATCTATAAATAAAATATGGCAAATGCTAACACGTGTCCTTAAGTAGACATGTTTGTAACCTAAAGTAAATATAAAAATATTGTCTTGAAAATTGTGTTATCAATTCCTTAAGTGTTCAAAAATTGTATTTTCAAGACAAAATTTTTATTTCTTAATATGTGCCCTTAGAATAAATGTTAGCAAAGCCCATATGTCACTAGTCAGTGAAATATTTATTGTTTAGTCAAACTGAGAAATAACAAAAAACATGAGAAGTTAGAAAATTACAACCACCATCCTCTACTGATCTTACATTCATTAAGGGGCAGCTAAAACTGTTTTATAGAGTATAGACAGTGTCAATAACTAACCTTTTTGCCTTCAACAGAGGAATCAGAACTCGGTACTTTGTCAGAAGGTACAGGATAATCAGCTAGGACTTGAACATCTGGCCCTACATTAAGAATTCCTGGGGCACGAATAAAAACTCCACGAAATGTTTCAGGACCACCTTCCTCGGACACGAGCTCTGGTACTAGAAGCTCTGTCTCAAAGCTTTGAATCTGAGTAAGTATGTTATTGTTAACTGTGACCAAAATTATATCCTTTAACCAATTTTCACTTAGAACAGTATCATTATATATTTATATTTACATCCAAACAAGAAATCTGTGAATATTATTAGTAGCAATAATGGATAGAATGCTAAATGTTTTACAAAAAGATATGGTTGTTTTAACAAAAACCACTGCAGCCAAGGATCGTAAACTTGAAGTAACTATTTTAGGTTTACATGCTTCTAGATAATAAGAAACCGGAATTAAGTACAGAACAAGTAGTGTAAGGTAGGAAGAGAAGAGAGTGAAGAAAAGCTTCAGAAAAACTATATTATAAAACTTTGTAGCTACAAGTCAGTCACCTTAGAGCATCTGCAATGGTAGTTCCTCTAATTGGGTTCCTAAGTGGTTCTCCTCCCTGTTACACATCACTCATTTATAACTTTTTAATATTAATACTTAATAAGCACCCACTTCTCTAATACAACAACTCAAAAATAATTATAGAATGGGCTCTACTAATAACTTCATATCACTATATTTCAAAAACACTCATTCATTTTAAATTTTTAATACAAATTTATTAACAAGGAAAGAGATTCTAATTGATAAGATCTTTACTAACAAGGAAAGAGATAATGGACTTAATCAATTAAATGATCATGCTAAATATAATCATATCAATCAATTAAAGGATCTGATGATTAAAGTAAAAAAGCAAAAATTAAAGTAAAAAGAATAAGAGAAAAGGAAATAAAATAAAAAAACTGATTGTGTTCTCTGATATTGCTACTCCATAAAAGCAGATACATCTAATACATGCATTACCTGGCTGCCAAAGAAATTTCTGTGTACAGTACAATCAAGTCCACCAACAAGTTCTTGTCCACCAGTCTTCTGTCCTGAAATGATATTTGTCATTTGAAGTTTTTAAACAATCATTAGATGTTTTGTGTGACAGGCAAAATGAGACTAAAGTATTTGGTACTGTAGCCGCAATTGCAGTCACAAAGTAAACATAGAAATTCCAAAATCATCGATATTATGACCGCAATTATGATTGCTGGCCATAATTTAAAAACAACTCACCTGTAGCTTTATTAGCCAGGAAAATTAGTCCTGCACAGGTTCCCCAAACTGGCTTTCCCATTTGCACAAACTCTCGCAGAGCCGGAAACTGTAAATTGAAACAATCAGCATAGTTTATCATCACCAATGCCATAATCGTGACTTGATTCCATGACCATAAATTTACAACTTTAGTATAAAATTTCAATAATTAAGTACAACAATGTAGTCAAGCATGAGATCTTAAGTAGGATCGGTCGGCTTGTGAAAGATCCTAAAACTCGGACCGTTAGCATGGTACGTAAGATCCTACCTAAGGGAAAATTGGTAATTTGATATATATTTATACATACACATACACAAACACCTGAAAATTATAGGGTTAGAGAGTAAAATCCACATACATACACATACACAAACAAAGTAGCCACAGTAGTTTTTCGATTGTCCAATTTTTAGGGTTACAGAGTACAATCCAGTGTTTAGATACTACACTATGATACGCCAGTGTTGTCGATGGTGGCCATACCGTCCGCTTTGCGATGCCGTTATAGCATATTATGGCAGAAAAACCTGCAATATTGGCCGATATTTACCAATGCGGCGAGCCCAAAAACCGCCATGTTTATCCACCAATGGCGAATAATTGATAACACTGTGATAGCCTCTAATGATTCTACCTAGTAATCGATGAATATGAGTGAGTCATGCTCAACAAAATGAAAACTAATTTCACTGACAGATTACGAATTGACAAAAATAATATTTGCATACTAAATGCATATTCAGGACAATGAAAGCCATTCCCATCATTTTTTCTTTATGTACTACATGATTTAATATCCTCCATATAAAATTAGTGAATGAGAAATTATTATGTATTAAACCAACACTACAACTTATGAAACAGGGACACCTCTAAGAGTAGGCATGTCACGGTGTCTCTCACGCACGTCGATATCTGACATTTGTATGACACATGTACTGACACACGTCTAAAAAGTAAACAAATGGCACTAAAAAATAGATTATTTTCTTTGCTTTGACACCCGTATGACACTAATACAAACGTGTGTCAGACAATTCATAAGTGTTTCAATATGACAATCATACATCGCGTGTCGGACAAATCATACTAGTGTTTAAAAAAAAACATTCTCTCTTCATTTTAAAGCACCTTATACATTTTTTTAAAGACAATTCTCACACTCGTTTAAATGGAATAAGTATGTATTGAACCAATGTTATCAACGAAGGATTAAAGACATTAATCTGTGTTGGAGTCCGTGATTCATAGCTACAACCACTCAGAAGGGATTGGAAATGTCTCTTGAAGTTTAAAAAACAAGCTCTTATTATCACTTAGGTGACACTTCATACTTCATAGACTCTCCATGTACTAAATTGATTATTTACGCCATAAGATATAATACATAGCAACATGAAGAAAAAAAATTGAAACAAAAATTTAAAAAGAGAGGGAAGAAATACCAGGTTGAAAGCCTCAGCGAGTTTGGCCATGGTGGTGCTTTCACCACCAGGGATGATTAAAGAATTAACAGTGAGAAGCTGTTCAGGTTTTCGAATTTCAACACCTTTAACACCTAATCTTCTGAGAGCTGAAACACAAACACAAAACGTTGAAGGTGAGTGAGTGATGAGAAAATTGGAAAACAAAAAAAGATAGAGAAAGTGGTTATGCCTGCTATGTGTTCGTTGAAAGATCCCTGTAAAGCGAGAACACCAACGACGGCCATGTTGAGTGGGTGTGTGTGGGGAGTGAATTCAAATAAACAGAACGCTGAGCGGAGTATATGTTTAAGTTTGGTTTGGTCCTCTCGTTTTGGTTTGAGTATGCGTGGCGTGGTATCACTAGTGTTGTGTTAGGGTGTTTGTACTCCAGTGGGAATGGGACTCAGCACTTTTATATTTTATTGGGCGGTTGGGCTTCCTCGTAAAAAGGTGAAAAAATATATATATTTTTTTAATCAACACATGAAATTATTTAAACTTTGTTAATTTTGAATAATCGTCGAAGTCAAATATTCTCATACTCATCTTCGTAACAATTTAAAGCGTATAATATGTCACATTTAAGAGTTATTATACACTTGAATTATATCAGAGATGCATCGATTGTGAATATTCTGAAAATACATTTCCGTAATATATCAGAATTAGGTCTTTCATAGTATATTTTATTTATTTATATTCAGATGAAAATTTAAACCATTTCATACAATCGGAAATAAAAAATAGATGTAAATAATTTCAGACGGTCTGAATATGGCATATATAAATAAAATACTAATAAATGTCAAAAATGACATAATCGAGATCAATACAATAGCATGATATCAAAATAAAATATAGATCATAGGCAGACGTCTGTATAAGTAGATCCACGAATAAACAGTGTATAAGTGACACTCATGGATCTACTCGTATAAGTGACACTTTTGACCATGATATCAAATCAATACTTCGTGGACGTCTATATAAGTGACACTTTTGTCCAGAAAATCACAGTGTCAACCAATAAACAGGTATGCTCTCATAACATGCAATATGTGGAGCGCCACCTGCTCATCACCACCTTCAGCTTGTTGTGCTCTCAGGATCTCAACCTCATATATCTTCTTCAGGTATTCAAATCTGGCATGAGCACACTAGTCTTATCCAACTCCTCATTCTCCTCTCCTGAATCAGCCCCCAAATACTCTACCATCATCTTGAGTGTCTCGTCTTTGGTCATCCTCTCATGATCTAGGATTCTCCCTTAATCAAAAGATGTAACAAACACAAGACATTGTCGAGTGTGATAGATATCTCACCATGCGGGAGATAAAACGACGAGGTCTCCGAGTGTCATCTCTCCACGAATGCATTAAGCATCACGTGGTTAATCGTAGTATAACCAATTCTCATTCGGCTGAGGCAAGCCAGCAATCTTTCATCCATGGTTAATAAACTTATACGAATCACGCTCTTGAAAAAAAACATAATTAATGTCAGAAAGTTGTCAATTAAAATTAACGTAAAAAAAATAATGAATCCAACTAATGCTACCTCCTCATTCCAGATATGTCTGACAGTATGATCTGGATACAGACAAATCAATTGGGCTTCCTCCAAATGCCTCTGATCGGAATCCGTAACAATCTCATCCTCTAGATGTGGCACTAGATCAACAACATCAGTAGTAAGAGGTGGGATTGCACCAGTAGTAAGAGGTGGGACTGCATCAATAGTAGGAGGTGGGATTGCATCAGCAACATCTACAATAGAAGGTGGCACTGGTGAAACCTGACGCCTGCAGGAGAATGGAGGGAGTGATGCGTCATATGGTGAATCTCGTCTTCTACGGGAAGAAGAAGATGGAGTGGCATGAGGAGAAACACATGCCCAAGTAGATGGCATTGTCTGACCAAAGGGATCAGGAGCCTTCAGAACCTGTTGACTCTTCTTCCGCCGCACTAATGCGTGTTGAGCAACCCTCTCGTGCCTCAGTCTATCCTGTCTATCAATAATTATGTCTGTAAGTTAAAGTAAAGTAAACCATTAGTGTAGGCAAACAACACACAAGCAAGAAAAAAAATTATTGCAGAAAATTTCGGAGATGCATCTCCGGAATTTGGAAAACTAAAACGCTGCAAAATTTCGAAGATACATCTTCGAAATTTCCTGCAACTCAGAAGTTGCATCAATGACATCAATGTACCCCATGCAATTTAAAAAGAGCTTGTTTTGATCATCACTTTTAGTTGACAAACATCTAATACACTATGTCTAAACTATCTTAAATGCCATTTCTATTCATTTATAACTCTAATAATTGATTTTTACTTATTTTTAACTCTAATAATTGATTTCTACTCATTTACACAAAAACTCAAAAATGTATCAAAAACACACAAAAAAAACTTAGAAGAAATGATGTTTTTGATGTTGTTTCTGATTTTACAGATGATAATTGATGTTCTCTTGAGTCTTGTTTATTGAATTTTGACTTGGTGTAGAGAAGAAATTTAAGAGAGTTTGAAGTTGAGTTCGAGTAAAATGAGAAATGAGGTAGGAGAAGGGTCTGGTGCAATTTAACCTCAAAAATATTTCGGAGATGCATCTCCGAAATATTTTAACGTTAACTGATCTTTTGGTGTGTCTAGAGATGCATCTCTGAAATCTGTGACCAATTATGTATTTTTGCGTAATAGCTAAGAAACTTATGGAATGCATTAAAAAATCTTTAAAATATATATATTTAGGTTTTGATGAAATAAAAAAATCACGCTAATGTTGTAAGATAAAATAATTTTACTATTTTTTTAATTACTTTTCCTTTACTGAACTAAGACTATATATATATATATATATATATATATATATATATATATATATATATATATATATATATATATATATATATATATATATATATATATATATATATGATTGTAAAGGATTACAACGGATTTTAGTTTTTAATGCGATAGAGGGGACTAATCTATAAGATTGTCACTCTAACGCTCGATTAAGTATATGAAGGAGAAGAATGAAAAAAAATTAAATTTTAAATTGTGTATATGAAACCGATGTATTTTTTATGTATAATGGAAATGATATAACAATTTTCTATTTGTTAGGTGTCTATTGATGAGTCATTTGATGTATCTAACATTGGATCGTTCTATCTTCTCTAGTAGAATATTTATCCTACGCTGCAAATTTTTTATAATCACAAATACATCACCTAACTTTTGGACACATCCAATAAAATGACAACTCCTCACAGGAGCTATAGTTTAATTTTTTAATTGTTTTAGGATTTGAGAATTATTTCATTTCTCCTGAGTTTTTCATTATGACTAATTTTCCATAGTTTATTCTCATTACTTTTTCTTCCTCTAATTGTATGATCCATCAAAAATATACACATTTCATTCTCTATATTTTGCTTGTTAATCTGATAAGAACCTCTTTTTTTTTTCTTTTCTGTTAGTCATATTTTAATTGTGTGAAAATTATTTTTTATAATTTTGTAAAAAAAAAAACTTTTTTGTTTAGTATACTATTTTTTTTAATTAACTATTTTTCTTAGTCATGTAAATATATGGTAAGAACATTTTAATGCATTTACATATTGTTCTGGACTGAGCCGAGGCTTATCCCACAATCGAGCAGGCTCAAACTCCATTGAGGATGGGCCAAGTAGAACCACACTAACAAGTAAGGACCCGTCGGGCACAACATTCCTTCCTCGTCGGGCAAAGGCCCTCAGCTGTTGGGCAAGACCCTCGCTGCCGACCAGCCAGCCTTTGTCCTCTCCTTCGTCGGGCAGAGCCATGTCTTCCTGGGGAGCTCCTCAGAACTCCCCCCACGCCGTCGGGCACAACAGTCCTTCCCCGTCGGACAAAGGCCCTCAGCTGTCGGGAAGGACCCTCGCTGCCGACCAGCCAGCCTTTATCCTCTCCTTCGTCGGGCATAGCCCTATCTTCCTAGGGAGCTCTACAGAACTCCCCCCACGCCGTCGGGCACAACATTCCTTCCCCGTCGGGCAAAGGCCCTCAGCTGTCGGGCAGGACCCTCGCTGCCGACCAGCCAGCCTTTGTCCTCTCCTTCGTCGGGCAGAGCCCTGTCATCCCGGGGAGCTCCTCGGACCTCCCCCCACGTTCTCCACGTGTCCCTCACGCAGGGACACGTCATGAAGTAACTACCCACATCCGGGAGATTCGTCCTTCCTCCTTCCGGATAATGCAGAGCAGTTACACTAGGGTGAAGACCACGTGCTAGTCTCCATGACGCCACGTCAGCCCTAGCAGTTGCTAACATTGGGCCTGACAGCCCAGCCCAGTGCTAGGTAACCGTTGGCCCTGCGCTGAGGGCTCACTATAAATACCTTCTTCACTAGAGGGTCAGGTAACTTAACTCTCTTACTCTTTCTCTATACTTGCTTCCACTCTGCTCGTCACTTACTTTGGCATCGAAGTGTGTTTCAGGTACACCCCCTCCTCTTCTACACTTTGGGTGAACAGTTTCCTGATTGACAACGCGTGGCAGATCATCGATCCCTTTCTGGTCAGGTACGGTCACATATAATTCTATAAGATATTGAAATTAACGGTATCAATTTAGATAAAGAGGGTTTCTTTTGAAATTTATTGTCAAGGTTGTGATAAAATGAATCAATTCGGATTTAATTGAAAATGAATTAAAGATAATTTTTTAACATAAATCAAATTTGTTAAGTCTAATTCAATTTTAAATGACGACTTTAACTTGTTTATGGTACTCACCATTCAATGAATCACATAATATATTTTTAATTGTAGGAAAAATTTGGAAGATAATCAATGTGAATTAGTTGAAACTCACAAGCTCAAACATATTTTTCTCTATCAAGTTGTGCATAGCAAAAATGAAGTTTATGACTTATACCAAGAGCATGTATGACTTTAATGATATGATTAATGAGTACAAGCTTCAAAAACATTATTGGTTGGGCAGTATGTATAAAATTTCCATAAATGGAGCATTGTGTTCAGTAAGGAAGTGTTCTCTGTTGAAATCAAGTTATCTCAAAGAAGTGAGAATACGAATATGAATCAGTCTCAATCAACCGGTGACAATTAGATACTAAAAAGGAATTTAAAAATAGTCAAAGTATGAACCCCCGATCATAAATATCAGTGAGATTTTGCGACAAGCATTTATGATATACACACATAAAATTTTCAAACTTTTTTGAATGAAGTATGTC